TATGTAGTTTAATAGCCCATTAAATTCTAGAGTAACAATGTGCAAGTTTTAAGCTGCTAAAAAATCGCGTTGATTTTTAATACTTTTTTTTACTGCATTACACATTTTTTTCCATACAAAAAAAAATTTTGGAATATATTTTTTATGCAAAACAATTTTTAATGTAGTCAGAAAAAAAAATTATTAAAAATCAGCCCGATTTTTTAGCAACTTGAAACTTGCACATTATTACCCTAGAATCTAATGGGCTATTAAACTACATAATCACAAAAATTCTAGAGAATCTGAATAAAAAGTTGAATATCTAGCTGAAACTTTGCAGATTTTTTATAATTTTTGCTCAAAGTTTGAATTGTGGAGTTATTTGGTGTTTGTTATATAATGAGCCCGACTTTAATGGAAAAATAATATACATTAAATAAACAAAAGAAAAATAGCCAAAATTGATCGAAATGTTGATGACTTAATCAACGGATCAAAAGTGTATGTCTTAGCACTTAACCTATTTTGAGCTTGTCCAGTTATTAATGTCGTTTATCAATGTATTAATTACTGGGACAGTGGAATCCGTTTTCATGTTGAACAAATATTTTTGCACGAATATCCATACATTCGTACATTCGTCTGGATATTTTAAATTTAGCACAAACATTAATTTATAACAATATTGTATAGCCTCCATATAAGAATGAAATGAATATTTAATTCCGTCTAATGTGACATAAAAATTCTTAAAATTAAATTCGTCACCCACAACAATGACGAACGGTTGCAGGGTTGAATTATCTTCTAGGCACTGTTTCCCCTTTTCTGCAATCGCTTGATCCACTTCACTAGATTGGTTTACTGAGACTGTGAAGGCATTTTGTGACGCCCATGTAAATTTTTTGCAGTAGGCAATAAAACCGCATGCAACAACATCATAATATATATGTTGAAATTGTCTAACAAATATAAATATTTAATTATTTCATTGATTTTAGTGAAGATTTTAAACTTTTATTTACCTATATTTAATACGTCTTTCTTTCCGAATACCCGGCTTTTAAGCTGCTTGGTTTGTGGATCTTTTATCCTTTGCTCAAACA